AGGGATGTTGCAGGGCATGTATCTAAATGCTTTAATTATCAGCAGGTGAAGGTAGAATATCAGAGACCAGCTGGAACCCTACAGCCCTTACCCATTCCTGAATGGAAGTAGGTAAATATTTCGATGGATTTTATTATGGGATTGCCGAGGTCCAACAAAGGGAATGATTCCATTTGGGTTATTATTGATTGATTGATAAAGTTGGCGCACTTCTTGCCAGTTAAAACAACTTATACTACAGAGACTTATGCAAGAATTTTTATTTGGGAGATTGTGAGATTGCTTGGAGTTCCAGAGACGATCGTGACGGATCATGGTTCAGTATTCACATCACATTTCTGGAAGAGCTTCCAGAATTCTTTCGGCAGACAACTAGTATATAGTAGTGTTTTTAACCCACAGACGAATGGTCAAACACAGAGAGTCAATCAAATATTGGAGGACATGATTCGGGCATGTGTGATAGATTTCCAAGGCACTTGGGAAGATCATATACCATTAATTGAGTTTGCTTACAACAATAGTTATCAATCAACTATAGGTATGGCTCCTTATAAAGCAATGTATGGGAGGCATTGTAGATCTCCGATTTGTTGGGAAGAGCCATAAATAGCTTACTACTTAGACTGGATCTTGTGAGGCAAACTACGGAGAAGGTAGCATTGATTCGAGAGCGTATTCTTACAGCCCAGAGCCGGCAGAAGAGTTACGCAGATCAGAGATGACGACCTTTAGAATTTCAGGTTGGAGACTACATCTTATTGAAAGTATCACCTATGAAAGGTGTCAAACTGTTTGGTAAACGGGAAAAACTTGCCCCGAGATATATCGGTCCGTTCAGGGTTATTGATCATGTTGGAGCCATTTTGTACCGACTAGACCTTCCAACGTCGATATCGGGTGTGCATGATGTATTTCATATCTCGATGATCAAGAAGAACTTATGAAATGAAGAACAACAGAGAGTGGTTGATGTGCTAAATTTAGAGCTTCAAGTAGATTTGACTACAATTGAGACACTAGTTCACATTCTTGCTAGGGAGGATAAGAAACTCTGAAATAAACTAATCCCATTTGTAAAGCAGTGGAGCAGGAAGGGAGTTGAAGAAGCCTCCTGGGAGCGTAAGGAGGATATGCGTCGTGACTACCCATACCTGTTCGAGCAGGTATATCGCTAACTATAGTATCATGGTGTTCATCTTATCTATATAGCCGCATTTTACACTTCACGCTGGAATATGGATATTAACACTTAACACCTAATCATTCGGAACATATGGTATATACTATTGGCCTTCTTGTTTTGATGATATTTAACAAACAATTTATTTCTAATGTTATTTTTCTAGTGTTTGTGTTTTCGTATTTATTCTAAGCAAACAACGAGTTAGAGGATGGATAGAATCGAGCATTCACGATCATATCAAATAGAGGTTGACGAAATAGTGGTTGAAGCTTATGCAATTCAAGTTTAAGATCCAAGTTCAGCTTCATCCGTATAGTGTACCAAGTCAAGCTTATTGAAGATCAATATCGGCTTGGATAATCTAGTTTAGGTTTTATATTATGTGTGTTAGATACTCTAAGCTCAATATCATATACACACACGTATTTGGTTTCTATGTATATATATATAGTTATATATATACATGCATGGTTTTGGGTTTTCATGTTTACAAATATGAAATTACATATTTCATATTATGATTTGGTTTAACTACTTAGATATGTAACAAATATATTTTCATATACATACCCATATGTTTCATTTTCTATTGTATTTATAAAAATATTATATTCTTAGTTTTTGGACTTAACAATAATCATATTTTCTATTGTATTTATAAAAATATTATATTCTTAGTTTTTGGACTTAACAATAATCATATACATATTTTATTAAGTCTACATAATCATTGTGCAAAGTTTTAAAACATGGTTTAGCCAAAATGTCAAAATTCACATGTTTATATTTTCATGTTTTGGCATATTTTGTAAAATGATGATATTTTTTCATTTGGGAAGTCCTTTTTGGAAACCAATCATTGTAGCATGTTTATTATTATGTCTACAATCATTCCCCAAAGTTTTATATTTTTTGTAATTTATTTGATATTTTTAAACAATGTTTTAAAATCAGCAAACAGTTTTTCAAAACCTGTATTTCATGTATCAGTTCACGGTCGACTTGGCTTTGGGGTTTGTATAAATACCCCCTTTTACCTTCAGCTCTATACACAACAAGAGAATGTTTTAAAGAGTTTTAAAAAGAGTTTAAGGTTGTTTTAAGCTTGTTTAAGGGTTTGGTTTATGAAGAAAGTATTACAAGAGCTTAAGGAGATTATCAATTGTATTTTGGGCATTCAATCCATCTCTCTCTCCTGTCATCTAGAAAAGTTTTCCTAAACTCAACTCTAGCTTTTATTTATAATTATTTGTTGATTATCATTTCTATTAAGCTAGAATTATATTGAGTTTAGTTTTGATTTATATCTCATTGTTACACACACCCACTTGAGCTTATTGTATTTGCATACATAGTATATTAGGGTTGTGAGAGATTGTAACATTGAGTTGTGCTTAATTGAGTTCTCGCCTTGTATGAGAGAACAAACCATTTATTATTACATTGAGAATGTTGTAAGGTTTTCGGTGAGCTAGAAAACCGAGTGTGTTGTTGTGAAGTTTTCGGTGAACTAGAAAACCGAGTGTGAGGAGTGGACGTTGATCGGTGAATGTTGAAAACCGACATTGTGAGTGAGTGTATACGTTGATCGGTGATTGTTGAAAACCGACATAGTGTGGTTGTAAACATTATTCGGGTGAACGTAGAAAACCTGGTTGTGATAGTGGATTTTTCACCGGGAATGGGGAGCGGAGACGTAGGATGGAAGGTCCGAACTCCGTGATCATTTGATTGTGTTTAAGTGTGCTTTTGCGTTTATTCTTATTTGTGCTCATTGCTCATTTCGCCATTGTCTCATTATTTATATCATCCACTATCTTGTTTCATTTTGTTTACCCTTGTGTTATTTTCATATCCTTGCATATATATCTCATAGTATATTTCTTTGCAGGATATATTTCATTGTTCATATTGCTTTTCCTAGTTCACATATCATGTTGTATTTCATACTTGCTAGGATAATTTGTTAATTAGTTTTTATTAGCATAAAATCGGATTAGATTAGCATAAGACCCTAATCACCCCCCTCTAGGGTCTAACATATACATGGGGGTTCCTTATTTGGATTTTTTACTCGACGTACTAGTTCTATTTAATTAGAGATTAAATGTGAGTATTCACATTCTAGATGTTAAGTATAAATATTACGTATATGATACATACCTGGTGATTTATAATAAATTGTTGAATTTCGGGGACGAAATTCTCCTTAAGGAGGGGTGAATGTAAAACCCCGTAAATTTGAAAATATTATGAAAAATAATAATAAATGAGTTTTATTATGGTTGATATTATTCTGGGATAAATGTGTATATTTATA